CCATTTTGTCATGCAAAGAAGTACTAGACAATTAAAACAGTTCTCAGTTGCTTTGGCTGTCTCAGAACTGAATGAAGTCTTATCAGATCTGCCTCCTGCACCTTAACATCCTAGACAGCTGATAACCCAGTCCCAAACTCACATAGCGGTTTACTCTGGCCTTCTTCTCTTTCAAGGCAACAACTTATGCCCAGTTTCTGGGTTACTTTCAACGCAACAAAAAATGTATTTTTCTTGTCCTTTTTTTGTTGATGGACAGAGGGTGGTGAGGTTGGCATGCAGTCTCCCTGCTCACTCTCAGTGAGTGATGAAGAAGACTGGCAACAGTGAACAGTGCCTCTTCCTCTCCTTTAGGGAGCAGACACCAGAGGTGGGTCTATCTTGCCCAGTTCAACTTGAGGTGGCTTGTCTGCTACCCACTTGGTTCCACTGAGCTCCACCAAGGCAGTCTGCAGTTGCCCACACTACAAAGAAGAAGAGTTGGTTTTTATACTCTACTCTTCACTACCTCTGAAGGATGGGGTATAAATCCAACTCTTCTTCTTCTACTCTTCAAAGGAGTCTCAGAGAGGCTTACAACTGCCTTCCCTTCTCTCCACAACAGACACCCTGTGATGTAGGTGGGGCTGAGAGAGCTCTGAGAGAGCTGTGACTGGCCCACGATTAATGAACATGTGGAGGAGTGGGGAATCAAACCCGGTTCTTCAGATTAGAGTCTGCCACTCTTGACCACTACAACACGCTGGCTGGTGCAAAGGCTTGGCTCACTGCTTGCTCTCCCTGGGATTTTCAGTGCTGAGCAAGAAAAGAAAGCCAAATGGCAGTGGCGAGCCAATCGGGCAGTGTGTTTACCTCCCTTCTCCTCACAATGACCGGTACACGTGAGAACAGGCCTTTCGCCCACAGACATATTACTAGCTATGACAGGTGCTGGTTAACAAAGTTGTTCAGATAACAAAGTGTCAGATAACACAGCTTTAACTGTAGTGGAGAATTCAACGGTTTGAAAAAGTAAAAGAAGGTAAACACAACCTGATGCAGCAAACTAGGAGACAAAACAACCCAATAATGAAACAATTCCTTTTGGAGTTAATAACAATAACAAAAATAAATGAAACAAATTCCCATACACAAGTCTAGGTCCCACCAGGTATAAAGTAGTCCTTTGATGCCCAGGTATCAAGATTTCCTAATCAGCATTATCTTTGATTTACATGGAGCCCTACGTCTGTTAAGAGCTAAGATCCACCTTATATTATCGCAACAGGCATAGATGATTCTTAATCATTGAGGAGCACCTTATCTAGACTGGGGGATTGTGTAAAAAAACACCCACAGACTGTGCATCTCAGCAACAGGCTTGATCTTAAAAATGTGGTCTATTTTAATTGTAACCCATGTTGGAAGTCAATCTGGCTAAAAAGTGTGGTATGAGCACAATACAGAAATACACTGAGTCAAGAAATTTCAGCAATATTTTTAGCGGCACTGACTCCAAGGTAAGCAGTAGGCCACAAGAGATTCTTAAAAAGAGAGAGAGAGAGAGAATGTGCAAATGGTGCCAAAGATCTCAGCAGAAAGCAGTCAGTCTGAAAGCTACCAAATGTCTTAAAATCATTATATGCAACCCAAAGAACCTGCAATAAAAATGCATGGGCATGTTGCAACATTAAGCATAACGTTCTTTAACTACTAAAATTAATGAATGGAAAATAAATACATAAATGCTTATTTAAAAGCAGGTAGATGGTTCAATTATTTTTGAGTACAGATAAGACAAAAATTTAGTAAGTCAATTATTTGGTGTATGTGAGCGGGAATCGTTTTGATTAATATAAAGACAGAAGATCATAAGAGGAGCTACCAAGCTGTAACTTGCCTGCAAACGGAGCATTGCCTCTGTGGCTGGAGAGCAGTAAACATCACAATCACTGAATAGTTGCGGGGTGGGGCCTTCACAAACCTTCTGAATTTGTCTCCATTCATGCGGATGACTGAGCGCCTTGAACTCCATTCCATAAGTTGTTCCACTTTCTCAGCTAAAAGATTCTGTAATGAAGCACAGGGAAGAAGGTTGGTATTGCAGTTAGAAGAGGGCAATGATGAACCAAGACAATTTAAGAAGCAGCCTTTGGGCTAATAGAAACTTCTATTGTCCTGTTGCAGTTACTGGCTAAGAAAAATGCTACAGTCTTCTTCCCACTCAACCTTACCCAGTGTCCTCTGTAATGAAAAAGCTGTGGTTGATCTACATTAGGGTTGCCAGGTCCCATCTTCTCCCCGGCGGGGGAATTTCCAGGAAAGTGCAGGACTGTCCCTAATGCGATTATGTCGTGCAGAGTGACATCATCACATCAGGAACACAGTGCTGTGCGTGCATGCCCCCTGCGTTTCCCCAACCATTTAAAGGGAACCTTCCCTTTAAATGGATTGGGGGAGACCAGGAGCCGTGCACGCCTGTGCACACTGTGCATGAATTTGTGGCTTGCAAGGCAGGCGTGCATGGCGCCTGCTCTTTTCAAGCAGGACAACTGGTGGGGCAGGGCTTCCCCCTGCTGGCCAGCTGGCGAGTGTCTGGGGGGTGCCCCAAAAATCAGGGGATCCCCCACCCCCACCTAGGGACTGGCATCCCTAATCTACATTCACTAAAGCCATATAGCAAGACAAAGAAATCCGCTACAAGAATGGTGAATAACTACTTCTCAAAGGATAGATGGAAGGAGACATTCCCATTGTGCGTACTTGTAAAGTGTGTTGGAATGGGTAACCTCTACAGGCTCAATGAGGCTTCCGTTAATGTCTTAGTTCACTAAAAGGCTACCATCTGAACAGGGACATACAGCATTAAGTTTGCTGCAGAGGAGTCTTAAACAAAGCCTCCTGCTACCCACTTCTATAATGTGAAAACACAATGTGAAAACGCTGGTAAATATGATCCTCATGATCCTCATACAGGCAGACAATGCCAAAACTCTTCCTTTATCAGGTACCAAAAAGTTTTCACTGGTTGCTGGCATAGTTTGTTTGCAGCAAATACATTTCTCACTAAACAAAAAATACACTAGATATAAAGCCCTGAGGTCTTAGGACTAAGTACTGTGGCAGCAAGCCCAGTCATCTGACCCCCTGTCCTTGTTCCCTTTAAGCTGTGGGGTCTTATGAGCAAAAATTCTACTTTGTGAGCTACTGGCATTAAAGTTGTGAGCAACTGATTTGGCTACTTCATAAATTCGTTGGGTCTGGAGCCATCCTTCCTGAACGAAGACAAAAATCTGTGCGCTAAAGGCTAAAAAACTGTGAGCTAGCTCACACCAACTCAGCTTAGAGGGAACACTGCCCCCTGTACTAGCATAGCAGCTGGCAGTGACAAATCACAGGCCAGATTTTAGCCACTTGACACCATCATTGCTGCAGATGAGTAGAGAGGGAGAGGGTTGCCAGACTCCAGGTGGGACCTGGGGATCCCCAAGGATAATGGCTCATCTCCAGACTACGGAGATAAATTCCCCTGGAGAAAATGGATGCTTTGGAGGCCGGACTGCATGGCATTATACCCCTATGAGGTCCCTGTCCTCCTCAGGCTCCATCCCCAAATCTCCAGGAGTTTTCCAAGCTTGATCTGGCAACTCTACCCCCTCATACCCTGCCAGTGACCGGGGGGACCTGACAACCCTAGGGACACAACATTTTCCACTGCAGCAGAGACCAGGTGACAAGTCCCCAATAGGATCACATCTGACCTTTTTAAGTGGATTACCCTGGTGTAGGGTTGCCAAGTCCATCTTCCACCCCCAGTGGGGGACTTTGGGGGCGTTCCTGGAGGGGGCGGGGCATCCCAACATGTGGCTGTGGGTGTTGGGGGTGGGGCTTCCCCCGCCGGCCATCTGGCCTGCGGCGGGTAGAACCCCCCCAAAAAACGGGGGACCCCTGGCAAACCGGGGGGGGGGTTGGCAACCCTACCCTGGAGTCTGGCCTAACACCTCAGACTGAGCAGCTTCTTCCTCAAGTTGCAGCCTGAGCTGCTTTTCTGCCTGCCTGGTTGTGAGACTCTTTTCCTGCTTCACCACCTGCCTGATTATACTCCACACACGGTTGGCTTCCAATGGAAACCTTTGTGGACCTCCAGCCTGGACCCTAGACAAGCTTGGCAGCTGCTACTGTGGAATGAGACCACAAATAATTTTTGCCAGCTCTCAAATTAAAACACAAAATTCCTTCGCTACAATATCACACTAAAGCTACATGGACCTGAATAATGATCCCTAAGAATTATCTTCCTGTAACCTAACACAGCAATTAAAAAGCATTCTCATTTCTGCAAATATCCATCCACTCCGTAAGGGCATGACAGACCGAAAGTTAAACAACCTTTCCGGTTGAAGTTTCCAAAAGTGGCTCAGCTAATGAAAAGGAAGCGCTGTATTTGTTAGATCATTACTATTACTTCTGGAAATCAGAATCAATTTAAGTTCTGTAATAAACTGCAAGGTTTATACCTAACCAAAATAACTATGGGAATCACCAAGATATTTTCATTAAACTTGTATTCATACATCCCAGGTATGTGGTTGACAATAGATTTTTTTTTTGTTTTAAAAAGGAAGATAAAATTAATAGTAAATACAGAGATACATAGGTATGTGGTTGACAACAGATTATTTTTTTAAAGGAAAATAAAATTAATAGTAAATACAGAGATACATTGTGCATTCATTCATTAGACATAAGAAAATCTGTCCCCTGCTATGTAGGCAGTGTTTCTCTCAGCCAATGCACTAGTCTCGTGGCCAGGGAAACAAATGCTGTACTGTTACAGAATATACTGTCCTCCAGCTTTTAGCATCCTCACACAGATATAATCCTAAAATGGCATTTTTCTGGCCCCAACCCATTTCTGGAGTTGCTTTCAACAACAAAGAACTCTAGTTAGACAGAGAAACATAATTGCCTTTTCTAGACCAGCAAGGAACATCGTATCAACAGTGAAGAAAAAACACTTGGCCTATCCAGCCAAAAAATGGAAAGATAAGATACATTACATTACCATTTACACAACACCAGCTATAAGCACAAAAGGTCACTACCCTCAAGAAGCTTACCATCGAAATTCTTACAACATGCCCAAGTGTTTCAGCCATGGAATTACTAATAGATGCAAAAACAGCCTTGGAACATATTTAAAAACTGTTATTCTTCAGTACGGTCTTCTCTCATTTGGTCTAATCAAGTTCAGTATTGCCCATTCTGACTGGTTGCCGATCTCCAGGGTCTTAGGTAGAGGTCTTTCACATCACCTCCCATTTATTCCTTTTTAAACTGGAGATGCCAGGGATTGAATCTGGGACCCTCTGCATGCAAAATGGCCACCCAGCTGCCCTACAGGGGGAACAATCTGCTCCTCAAATACCTTTTTGCTCACCTCACTGTCAACTTGTATTTGTTCTGTCAGAACCTGCGCTCCTTTCTACATATATCATTCGAGCAAACCTTTCACTTTCTAAAGGAAGCTTTTTTACCTTTTATGGCTTCCTTGACATAGGTTATTGGCCACACTAGATCCTTTAAGACTCAGAGATAATCTTCTTAATTTGAGGTGTACGTTCTACCTCTGTATTACAGTTCTAAATAGCTTCCAGGCATCCTGAAAAGACCGAGCTCTCTTGACACTCCCTTCTTCCTCCAGACAAATCCCTTCTTTTTTTAAAGGAGCCCTTTCTGAAATCAAATGCGACTGAGTTGGACTTCTGCAGCAACTTGTGTGTGTGTATGTGTGTACAAACATATGCACAAACACAGACTTATTGCACAAAACTAATATTCTGTATTAATATTCTACATTTTTTAAATGGGTATCAAATTGTGGCACCAATATCAAATATGCAGTGAAACACTGCTTTCATCTTTTTAAAAAGGGTATTATACAGGTAAGTGAACAAAGATATTTAAAGCCTTAGACAAAGATTTTCATTATAAAGATTGTTCATAAAAAATTAATTACTAGTCTCATCTGAAGCAAACATTAAACAAAAAAAGTTCACAGCACTAAAAAAAAAAACCAACCCAATGCTATTCTAACATCTCAAATCAGATGCATGTTAAGGTTTCTAACATTTTAAAAAAATAAAATTACTTTCCAGTACCATGGATCTAAAGTGAAATGGCATCATGAATTCACTGCTACATGTATCAGAAGCTTTTCTTCTTGGCAGGGCAAGTACAATTTCTGGTCTTTCTTTCTAAAGAAAAGAGGGGGAAATCCTATTTGCCTGCTTGGACTTCAAAGAGGAACATGAAGACGTAGTGAGGGGACCTAATTCAGAAAAGCCATCAAGGCATAGCTGGGGAATGGACTGTGTTCATCTGCCAGCAATTGATTAATCTGGTACTACAAGAGAAGGAGCTATCCTTATGTCCTATATAAAGAGGTTTGCAGCTCAAAGGCTTTTCTGTCACTGTATTTGGAGAAAGGATTGTATTTTCTCCAATAGGATGCTTAATATTTTAAGTGAGCCTTACACAAAGTGCCCTGAGGACACTCTCTCGAATTGGGATCAGAGGCACCGAGAATTGAAGAGGGAAGCTAAGAGGGCGTGAATATGTGGAAAGCCTAGCAAAGAGCATATCAGCAAGGCCAAGATGAAATTTGACAGACCACACAAGACTTCTGATAATACCATTTGAAAGGAGGAGAAGGAAGAGGAGGCGGAGGAAGACAAGGATGATGATGGGCTGCCACACTGCAACCAACTTATGGTGACCCCCCTCTGGGGGGTTAAAGGCAAGAGACAGTTAGAAGTGGTTTGCCATTGCCTTCTTCTGCATAACAACCCTGGTCTTCTACTAACCTGCTTAGTAGTGGCCCTGCTTAGCTTCCAAGCCCCAACTAGTTCAATCTAGTCTGAGCTATTCTGGCTGCAGGGCCACTTTATTCCATTTATTTATTTAGATTACGTCTTGGCCACCAACAGTCGGCAGTGCTTCAGTTCAATTACCAGGCTGGTACGGCAGGTGACAGAACAGCACAAGACTCTCTCCTCCGCCACATCCTG